CTTTTTGTTTTTCTTGAGCTGCTCTCAGGATTCTTTGTTTGTCTTTGGTTTTAGAGAGTGTGATTATGATATGCCTTGGTGATTTTCTTTTGGGGTCTATCTTATATGGGGTTCATTGAGCTTCTTGGATGGTCGGTTTTTCATCTTTCATGATACTGGGGAACTTTTCTGTCAGCAATTCTTCAACGATCCTCTCTGTGTTTTCTGTTTTCTTCCCCTGTTATGGAACTCCGAACTCTCACAGATTTTTGCTTTTGATTGTATCCCACATAATTCTCAGGGTTTCTTCATTTATTCTTCATTCTTTTTCTGATTTTTTCCTCAGAGTTGTATCCAAGTGTTTGTCTTCAATTTCACTGATCCTGTCTTCCATCTTTTCAAACCTGCTCCTCAGCCCTTCTACGACACTGTCCATTTCTGAAATCTTGTTGTTTATCTTTTCGATTTCTAACTGTTGTTTTTGTATGATTTCTAGTTGTGAATTTATTTTAGCATTTTGTTCGTGTATTATTTTCTTGAATTATTTCATTTTTTTGTCTGTATTTTCCATGAGTTTGTCTGTCTTTTCTATGAATTTGTCTGTTTTTTCCTCATTTTTGTCTGCTTTTTGTTTCAACTCTTGGATAATTCTGAATATTAGAGATTTGAATTCCCTATCAGTTAGGTCTAGTGCCTTTTCTTCTACTGGAACATCATCTGGTATTTCATTTTGGATGCCTACTGGGACCATCCTGTCCTGTTTTTGTAAATGTTTTGATATTGTCTGCTGTCTTCGGGGCATTCAGTGGTTATTTTCCTTGTTTATTGATTGTAGATTTGTTTGTTTCATCCTGATTTTTTGTTTTATTTGGTTATGTCTGAGCAGGCGGGCTGTGCGTTCTTTATTGTTTGCTCTTCTGTGGGCACGATAGTTTTCACCTCTTTCTCCAATGGGCAGGGTCAGTTACTCAGGTATGGTAGAGCAGGTCAGGTCCAGCTGAAGGGGAGTTGCTGGGCTGGGTTGTTTGTGGCACATACCAGGGCTGGCAGTGCAGATCGGGAATCAGAGCAGGGCAGGTTCCAGTAGGCCATGTCTGTGCTGCTTGGGACTGCGATGTTCAGTGCACGGTGCAGGTAGGCATGAAGGAGGGGGTAGATTGTGATGTGTGGAGCTAAGATGAGCATGGGAAAGATGAGAGAGAAGAGAGAGGAACAGGAGCCAAAAATATGCACACAAACAAAAAACAGTGCTAAGGGAGCTTGCTATTGGAGTGGAGAGATGAGAGACTGAGAAATGGGGAAAAACAAAAATGAAAAAAAAGGGTAAAAAAAGGAATAAATTGAGAAATTGGAAATGAAGAAAGACAAAAAGGGAATAAGAGAGAGAAGAAAACAAAACAAAGAAACAAGAAAAAAGAAACACCCCCAGGGATGTCCCTGTGTGTCTGCGCAGAGTAAGAGAGTAGCTTCCAAGCCACGTGGTACTGTCTGGCTAGAAGGGACTCCCAAGCCAAGAAAAGAAAAAGAAAACAAACAAACAAATCAAGATAGAACAAACCAGAGCAAACAAACAAACAAAAAAGCCCTGGGGGGTCCCACCAGCGTGGCAGCACAGGTCAGGAAGCAGTTTCACAGTCGAAAGGTGTTTTGCAGCCTTTCAGGAAGAAGCAAAGATGGCACACGGAGCCAGGTATTTGAGAGAAAGGAGGGAGAGGTGGTAAGAGGTGAGGAAGAAATCTAAAGAAGCGGAAAAAAGCAACACCAGCAGCCAACAAAGGGCACTCAGGGAGCCGGCCAGTGCGGGTGGGTGGAATCCAAGTGACCCCAGGGTGAAGCTGGTGCTTCCCAGCCAAGAGACTGTGGCTGCAGGAAGCAGAGGAGGCTAAGTGGGGGTGAAGATGGGTGGGGGGTGGGAAAGCCTATATCGCTAGTTACTGGTTGTTCTGTCTCCTGCTGGAAGCTCCATGAAGCTGCTTTCTTGTACTCCCTGTTCGCTGATCTCTGACATGAGTCGAAGATGGTGGATCCATGCTGCAGTAGCTGATAGGGGACCTCTGCATGCATCTCTCCTCACTGTCTGTTCTCTGTCAGTTTCTTATTCCATTCAGTGCTTGGCTGAGTTCTTTATTTCTTCATTTGATGCTTAGGGTTTCAGGATTGACATGTGACTCTGTTTGACTTAATTTTTCTGATCTTTGCTGCAGAGGGATGGCATGGTGCTTCTGACTATAGCGCCGGGTTGCCTGGAAGTCTTGGCTACTGTTAATAGCACTGCAATGAACACTGGCATACAAGTCTCTGTTTGAGTCTCTGCTTTCAAGTCTTTTAGGTATATACCTAGGAGTAGAATTGCTAGGTCATATGGTAGTTCTATTTTTAGTTTTTTGAGGAACCACCACACTGTTTTCCACAACGGCTGTACCATTTTGCATTCCCACCAGCAGTGGGTAAGGGTTCCAATTCCCCACATCCTTGCCAAAATTTGTTATTTTCAATTTTTGTTTTTGTTTTTTTAATCTAGCCATCCTAGTGGGAGTGAAATGGTATCTCATTGTGGTTTTGATTTGTATTTCTCTGATGGCTAATGATGGCTGAGCATCTTTTCATGTGTTCGGTGCCAATTAAATGTCCTCTTTGGTGAAATGTCGATTCAAATCCTTTGCCTATTTTATGATTGTCTTTTTGTTGTTAAGTTGTCAAAGTTTCATGTATATTTTGATTATTAGATTCTTATCAGATATATGGTTTCCACCTCATTTGATTCTTAAAACAGGTTTCTAAAGTTGATAGATGAGGAAACCAAGACTTAGAGAGATAAAGAAACTTGCCCAAGGTTCACCCAGCTGGTAAGTGGCAAAGCCAGACTTTGAACCTGGTGCCTCCAGCTCTAAACCCGTATCCTTTCTTAACCACTAAGCAAACTGCTTCCATTTATTTACCCATTTAAATGATGAACATATAAAAGTGTGAAAAGAGCTCAGCTAATTTAAAATTATTTACAAAGGGAAAAATGGAAAAGGAAGAATATTTAGAAATCACTTTCAACATACATAAATCTCTGCATCCCCTGCTCCTTTCTCACCATGTAGCTCTGCTGTACATTTCTTAAATTGAGGAGCCAGCATGGCCGTAAAAATTCCACAGCTTCTTTGTTGACTGATTGATGGCCAGTCAACACAGGCCCACTTGGTTGATGGCAATGGGGAGTTGAAAATGGGGTGCAACAGAAGTAGGCCAGGCCTCCTGACTGGTCATCTTGCACCCACCTCATACCGACCTGGGGACATAGAATCCACCTCATCAATTAGCCTTTCACCCTCTTCCCTCTCCAGGATGTACTTCAGGGTGAGGGCTGTCTTGTAATACCGGGATCTGAAGAAACTTTCCTTTTCCCTCACCAGACAGAAGCAGTGGAATCTGTCAGCATCAATGGCACTTCTGACAGCAATCATATCCCCTCTAGAGTCCAGCTCTCGGACCACAGTTTTTGAGATTTCCTCAAATATGCTGGACATTGTGCCTGGATCAACTGGGAAAAGGAAGTCAATTTCAGTGGGCGGGGGGCGGGGGGTGATAGGGGCTCAGGGTTTTTAAATCTTCCACTTTTGGCTGCCTGGGGTCAAAGAAGAGCCAAAAGGTCCCAGGAAAACCAGGACCGGGGGGATAATTTGCCTTTCCTGCTTCTAGAAGGCGAGGCGGTCAAAACACACTAAGGAAGGGTGGACATCACAGATTCCCCTCTCCTCTGACCCTTATGGAACCCATCTGGAGGAAAGATTGTGGTGATCACCCCAGGCAGGGAGAGTGAGGCCCGTTTTCTGCATCTCCCACAGCAGAGTTACTCCCTTGCTCAGTGGGGCCTGAGGGGTGGGAAGGCCCACCATCCCCCCGCCAGACTTTCAGCAATTTGGATGAACAGAGGAACCAGGAAGAGATGAGGGACATGGCTGCCAGACCTCCTATTGCCAACCGCAATTGCTTATTTCTTCCCTTGCCTCTGATTCCCAGGCCCCCTCCCTCCACCCTATCCCAGCTGTATTCTCCAAGACAGTTGGATGGGTTTAACCCCACACAGAAGAGATGGTGATAAATTAGTGATAATTAATAGTAGTGGTGATAATCAGAAGGGAATAAAACAAAAAGGACAGAGTACAAAAGCAGCTTGGAACTGGGCACACTGGGTAGCTTCCACAGGTTCTTTCTACTCAGTTTCTGGTCATCTTCTAAAGGGTCCCGTTGCCCTTGGTAAAGTAAAATAAATCCCAAAGCCTGACCAGGAACATCTCCCCTCATCCTCTCCCCTTCACCCTCTCCTGGTCTACTCCTGGCCCCTGTACCTCTCTATCTTCCTTGCCCCTACCAGACCCACCACAGACCCACAGCCCAAACAATCTGACTCTGCTGGTCCTTTTCTGTTTCTATTCTGCAGCAGTTCTTTGTCCCCACCCCAGTGGATCTCTCAGGCTCTTTCACCTCCAAATACTTCTTGCTCTCCTCCCTTCCACTAATAACTGTGACTTCTTCCTCTTGAAATCTTGTTTCCCTACTTCAGGCTCCTTTGCTTCCCTCCTGGTGCTGGGCCTCACCTCATAATCCTCCTAGGCTCCACTTCCCCATCCTTCCTCTAAATCCCTACTGCCTGGCCCAGGCACCTATCCCCTTACTGGTCCCTTCTCTGTCCCTGCCCCTCATCATGGTGGCTGACTCTCAAAGCACTCCCAAACTGGAAATTCTTCTGGGTGTCTGGAAAGGCAGTGCCCATGGCCCACAGGCCCATCTCAGGGCCTACCCACCTCCTCCCTGGGCTCCCTGGCCTCCCCTCAGCCACTCACCAGAAGTGGAGGTTGTGAGAATCCCCCTCCGTCAGATCTCTGCGGGATTCCTGGCTACTGTGCCTCAGGAAGCTATACTAAGGGAATCGTAAGTTCTCCAGGTTGAGCACTTCAGGGAAGGCTGGTTGGGGCTAGGTGCCCCACCTCCCAGGCCTTTAGATAAGCCAAACGATGGCTGGGTTGGAGATAGATGAGGTCAGAGATCGGACTTCCTTCTTGCCCCTTGTACCCAGGGAACAGGTAGGAGGTGCTGATATATTCTAGGTGAGTCTGGGCCAGAGAATGGTACAAAACAAGTCATACTGGGCCATGAAATTCAGTGATTTTGGAGTAGAAAAATGGAGTACAGGTGGCTATCAACCAAGTGCCAGGAGGCAAAGGCTGTGGCTGTACAAGGGATATTAGAAGTGGTGTTGTTGTTGTTGTTCTTAGGTGCTGTCGATTTTCGACTCATACTGACTCCACGTGACAGAGTAGAACTGCCCTGTAGGGTTTTCTAAGGGGTCGCTATGAGTCGGAATCAACTCGACAGTAACAGGTTTGGTTTGGGTTTGGAGTCTACAAGAGCGAACCACCAGCTCTTTCTCCTGTGTAGCCACTGGGTGTGTTCAAACCACCACCCTTTTGGTTAGCAGCCAAGCACTTAATCATTGTGCCACCAGGGCTCCTTTTATTAAGGAAGTAACCTGGCTGAAACCAGGTACCCAAATGCCACACTAAGGGGGGGAATACTGAAGGTTCAGAGAACAACAGCAGCTAACACCTGTAGTAAACAGGATGGGCCAGTAGGGAAGACTCAGCCTTCTTCCCCCTGCCACACACACTCCCATGGACCCTCTCAGGGAGATGCTGACCCTCTTTATCTGATGGGACCTATCCCCTCCACCCACTTCCTTCGCCAGGGAGAAGCCTCTGGCCCCACCCATCACTCCTCAGATAACCACAGCCTAGTCTGTCTTCTGGCCTCTGCCTCCCTCAGTTGTGAAATAACATTTTAGGACAGGATGATGATGATGATGGTGATAATGATAATGATGATGGAGGTGGCGGTAACAATTGTAAAATATTATGGTTAACGTGTAAGGGGGCAGTGGTGGTTTAAAAACTCCATTGATCGATTCAATTCGATCCCGTTGTGCATGGGCTTGCCATCAGGCAGGGGGCAACTCAAAGGCAGCCAACAGCAACCACACACGCAGGCAGTGTGCTAATCCTCACAACAGCCCTAACTGGAACGATCATTTTTGTACTACAGAGGAGGAAACTGAAGCTCAGAGAAGTAAAATAACTTGACAAGGTCACAAAGCTATGAAGTCATAGAGCCGGGCTTTGAACTCAGATTATTGTGGATGTGGCCCAGCCCCTCACCCTGGCTGCACTCTTGCAGGTCTGTGGAAGCTCCTACAACACCCCAGCCCCACGACGGAGTTCAGGTGGCTGCACTTCTCCTCCCAGTACTGTCAGGGCCGCACCCTGGGACCCTGGACTTGGGCAAAGCCCCTACTCTTCTGGACACCCACTCCAAGGACATTGTGATGCTGGTCCAGGGCCAGAGAGGAGCCCAGGCTGCTGGGGGCAGCTCCCCACTTCTGCCTAAGACTGTCCCAGGAGTAGCAGATGATACTGCACAGAATGACACTGTACAGATACTACAGATATTGTACACTCCAAGGCCTGTGCCCTCAGAAGATAAGGGTTCCTTCACTACATGACTCTTCCGGTCCCCGATCCTTTCTTTGTGAGCCTCAATAAATCCTGGGGAAAGGGGTAGATTACCCAGTAAGCACGGTATGCGCTGGCTTACAGTAAGCAAGGTACGCACGGGCTTAATTGTGCTTAATTACTGATCTGTAGTGCACAATTTCACCTGGTTTTCACCATATCATAAAAGTCCATATTTTCACCATATCATAAAAGTACTTATTGGATAATCCGTCCCTGCCTAGAGGGGTTACCCCTTCCCCTCCCACTCATGCTTACAGCAGAGAGAAGAGTGAAGATTCCTCTGGAGACAGAAAAGCCAGGGGGAAGTACAGCCCTCCCAGGGCAGGAGTGACTGGGGGAATTAAGACCTCGGGGAAGGAGTGAGGAATGGGGGAAGGAACAGGGGATTCAGAGGGAAGCAAGGACAGGGCAGCCCTCGGGACCCCTGCCAAGGCCCAGCCAGCCTGTGGAGGCAGAGGCGCAAGACCTGACAGAGGAGCGGCCAGGCAAAGGTACCCACAGAGAAGTCTGTTCCCTGGCCTGCTGCTGCCTCCGCCAACTTCCTCCACAGGACCCCTTACCCCCAAGTTGGGGCAGAACAAAGACCTACAGTCTGAGTCCTTCCCACCTGATACCCCCACCCCTGCCCTTGGCAGGAACCACCCCCCACACCCAGGGCCCTCCAGGAAACAGAGGCCAGACGGGGGAAACAGGAACACACTGCCCTTTATTTGCATCTCTCAGAATACTGTACAAAGGGAGTAAAAATCCTATTCACACTTTGCTTACAAAGATTTTGAGGTGAAAGTTCCCTATGATAACACGGGCTGGCGGCTGCGGCGCTAGGAGACAGAAAACAGGGTCAGTGACCTCCCCTCCTCCCTCAGGCCCCTGGGAGAGGGCACAGGCACCCACAGCTTTTCGAAGTAACAGAGACCCCATCGGAGTGGGGAGAGAGGTCGAAGGCCCCTCTCCAGGCCTGTGCTCAGGCTCCAGCCCCACCTCTCTTTGCCTCACACGCTGACAGGGCAGCGTCTGCAGGCCACTCTTCGCTCCTTCCACTGTCCTGTTTAAGCAGCCCACCAACCCAGGTGGGAGTGGCCTCATACCCCACATGTGCATGCCACACAAGGGGGGCCCTGCCCCAGTGCCATCTGCGTGAGCAGGCTACAAGGTGAGGGACCCCAGGATCCATCATTTCTGTCCCAGTTTCCCACACCTCTCACACCACTGCAGAAGGCAGTGTCAAATTGGACCTGGGAAGACTGCAACTCAGGGGACTCCTCCGTCCATCTCCATCCCCTCACACCAACCCAAAAAGCTCCAAACCCACAGCTACCTCCCTTCCCTACTACCACCACCATTCTGCAGGTAAATTACTCTTCCAAGTCTACTCCCCTCCCTGCCCACATCCCCAAAGGACGAGGTTGGAGCTAGCTCCGTCCCCAGCCCTCCCTCCCTCCCTCCCATCAATCTCTGCTGCTACGTGGTCCTATTCTTCTAAATCTCAACTCACCATCTCTCCTCCCCTCCACCGAACTCCACCAGGGCCTGGATGGCATTGGCCCTGGCTCCGCACCTCTGGGACCAGGGCATCCACACCCAGCCCCATCAACCCTCTCCTCACCCTCCCCAGCCCCACCCAGTACCCAGGGTGGGTTGCAGGGAATCTGCCAAATGCATCAGACTTGAATTAAACAGTTGTGTGCCCAGAGGGATGAAGCGTCGGCACACGCCTGCTCGTGTGTATACAAGCACACTGCCACCCTAAAGACTTAAGAATTAAAGTGAAACAATCTATAAGTTGTACCGTCCCTTCTGCTCCCCTCACAGGGGTTAAAGTGCTTTGGCCACCTGAGGGTGAGCAAGTGAGCAGGGGGTTTCCCTAGCCTGTTGCACCAGCCTCATGGGTCCATGTTCAGCCTGGGAGCCCAGCCCATTCCAGGACCACCCACGGAGTCTCTACTCAAAAGGCAAAAGGAAAAAATTTTTAAAAAATGGAAGGGGTCTGAGCCTCGGGGAGGCCCACCCCAACCCCACTATAAGCTACTGGGGAAGCGAGGGGGTATCTAGGGCCTAGAGGCTCAGCCCCCATCTCTGGCAGTGTCCCGAGGCTCCGTCTGTCTTCAGCATCGCAGCACAGGCCTTCTACCTCACCCCTGCCATCCTGGGCAGGGGAGTGCCGCATCTTCAGTACTTATTGATTCCAAAAATCCGGACTCCATGGAGCTGGGGCAGCTTGGGGATGAGCACGCTCATTAAGGACACAGTGTTGAGAACGAAATGGATCTGGTCGTACTTCGTGTAGAAGCTGGTGAGGAAGTACCTGGGTGGGAAGGTTGGGCAGAGGTGTAAGCCTTTGGAGGACCCCTTCTTCCCTCACTCCCTGGGTGGGGAAAGGCAGAACAAAGCAGCCAGGGAATTATGGGAGAGGCCTCTAGACCAGAAGTAGGGTAGTGAGACCTCCCAGATGAAAGAGGCCACTTCCACCAAGCCCCTCGCTTCACCCCAGGCCTGTGGGCCCACCTCACTGGCAGGAAAAAAGCCCACTTGAGGGAAGACAGGGCCAGGGAGGCCCAGGCATGAGTGAGCCCAGTGTAAGATTCAGGGATACTCCAACCTCCCTTCCCCTGCTCATTCCTACCCCTGGGCCAGAGCTGGCTGGGCCCCACGGCCCCCAGGCTTTGTCCTGCCTGCTGGGGCCCTCCTCTACCCAAAACACTCACAGCACGATAGGTGTGATGGTCAAGAACTTCCGAGAGGCTGTAAACTGGACCCCGTAGTCCATCTGCTCCCAGTGGGTCAGCAACCTCGCCTTGCCCTGGTCCGGGGTTTCGAAGGGTGTCCCCTTCACTGTGTGTAGGAAGATGTACATGCCCTGGAGGAAGTGGCCTTCGTTAGAAAGGGAAAGGCCCTCCAGCTCAGCTTCTCCATCCCTGGAGCCTCCCTCTGCGGGGCAGGGAGATGTGGGCTGTAGGTCAGGATGGAATAGCTGGGAGCCCAGCAGGAGAAGACTAAGGGGACCCAGTGAGTGAGAGGGAAGGCCTGGCATGAGAACACACAAGGGGAAGAGTTAGTTGCAGAATGGGCCTGGCAATGCCTGCTCCCTCCAGCCCAGGTGTACCCTCCCTGTGCCAGCTGGGAGTGGGGTGCTCTTGGCAAGAAGATGGGAAGGGACTAGGCCCTTGCTTGCCCACCAAACGGGTACAAGGTAGCAGGCGGTAAGGGAGCAGAGAAAAGCAAGAGTGGAAGATAGTTTGAGATCCTGACTTGGGAAAGGGGCATGTCTGAACCGGGCTAAGCACCAGGACTCCTGGGTCCTGGGGACTCTTTGGGGCTCTTGGTTCAGCTCTCAGTGGCCCACCTTCCTGGCCCACAAGCCACCCCATCCTGGAGATGTGGACAAAGCTGCGGACTGCACTCCTTTTATCAGAGCACATGGGACTGGAATCCAAAAGAGGGAATGAGGCAGGGATGAGAGCTGGGTCTAGGCTCTGGTGACAGATGTTGTCAATATGTCACCCTGACATCTGGCCCATATCTGGCGGGCTCCTCGTACCCCTCAGCCCTGCCAAAGAGCAGTCACATGGCCAGGTTGGGCAGAAGACAGGCCCTCACCATGTTGTGGATGAGGTTGGTGAGGGTCCAGACGACGGGGACGCTCACGAAGGGGATGCTGAGCAGCACCACGTGGAGAAGCCCGATGGCCAGCACATAGGAGAGCCAGATGCCACGGCTGTTCATCACCCGCGTGTTGGGGTTCACCTCGCTGTGCGCTGTACCCACGTTCATCCTGCCGCCCCTCTCCGACGCTGTTCTGCAAACAAGCAGCACAGGTGAGACAGGTCACGCCACCTTCCCTGCAGACTCCTCTCTCTCCGAGAACTCCACACAGTTCTACAGTTTTGATTCTCAAGCAAGGAGGCAGGAGAAAGTCCATGAGATTTTCTCTATTCATTTCTCACCTCCGGGCTGGGATAAACATTAGGCTGCCTCACCTGTCAGGACAATGCCCCTGCAGGTACCGGGATGCCTGGTAAGATAGGTCATCAAGAGGCATCCAGCCCCAGAGCAAAGAAATCAATGCCCAGCCCCCAAATCTATCCCCCACAGCATTCCTATGAGGGCCTACCATCCACAAAGCCCGGGGGTGGGGGTGGGGGGGAATGACGACACACACAGAGGCTGCCCTGTGAGAGCTCCCACTCAGCATAACCCCTGAGGGCCTGCTCTAGGACATCTCCTACTCACAAGTCCTTCCTATAAGAGGGAGTAAAAGGTGGGGCATGTGGGCACAGGCTGCAGTAGAAGAAAGCTTTTTCGGTCATTGCTTCCACCCACCTCCCCTAATTCTCCAATCCTGGGCCTCCCCTTACCCTCACTCAATGATGATGTAAAAAGAGGGAGGGAGGGAACAAAGGAGGAAACAACAGACTAGGGACAACCTTTGCCCAGACCTGGAGGCTTTAACTTGGTGACACAATACAACACATCCAGATGTTTTATCCATTTGGCAGCCACTCAGACTAGCCCTTGTGATGCCACCCACTCTGCTGCCCAGCCACCAGGGCAGAAGGGCCCTTTGCCCCACTATAGGAAAGGCAAGGAGAGGCAACGTGGCCAACATCTACAGCTCCCGTTGGTAGCTGGAACCCACATCAACACACCGCTCCCAGACTTACACCTAGGACACAAAACCACACCTCTGGCCTCCCTTCTGCCCCCTTTCTTCTCTGCCCCCTCCACCCCCACCTCAGTCTCCTTTTCTCAGCACCTGTTTCCAGGCGTAAGTTAATACCATGCCTTTCCCTGCCCAGCTCCAATGGTAGAAGCCCTGCAGCTGGAGAAACCAGGAGGGCTGCCCTCGATGCCCAGGAAACAATAGTGGCAGCAACCCAGAGTGGGCAGAGAGAAGTGGTGAAGGTAGGGACGGGAATGAGCAGTCCCTTGTCCAGAGCTTCACTGTCCCCAGATCCCTGAGGGCCTTGTGACCAGCTGGAAATGGGAACAGATGGCGCCTGTGCATTGGCTCACCTCCCTAGAGGAGGGAGGGCCCTGCCTGAGGAAGACCTTAAGGTCATCACCGTGGTAACAGCCCTATCTTTCCCGGGGATGCAGAAAGGGTCCCAGATGAGGGTATCCTGGGAGTGCCCAGAGGCCACCTCCATCATCCCACTGCAGCCAACCCCTCAGACTCAGTTACTATTTATCTCTAGCCAGGATTCCAGTTGGGCCTGCACAGGAGCTAGAATTCCCAAGGGTCAATTCCCTACTTCCAGAATAATGGGAGAAAGTTTCCTTTTCTCAGACAGTGCCAAGCTTAGAGACCCCCAGGGAAATGTGGCCCACAACACACCTTCCCAACATACAAACATAGTGGGCTGGCCTGGGGTGCATCCTGGAAGAAGTGATGCTCCTGGGGCCTATCAGCCCAGCCCATTAGGCTGGATAATTGGGCCTCACAGAAACCCAAGGAACTAGAAAACTAGAGCTGTCTTGGTTGTTTACCTTCCCCAGGCCTTGGGATTTCAGTTACCCTAACACAGCCCCTGGGACACCTACTATGCAAAATCCTCCATGGGGTGGGGGTGGGGGGTGAGAGGGTGTCTGCCTAGAAAGTGAGGGTTTAGCAGAACTTACTACTAAGGGGAGGGGAAGAGTTCCCCAAATCTGACCAGAAACTGCTGCCGCCCCTTTCCCTAACCCAGACCTACAGGGGTGTGAGTGGAGAAAGATCTCTAGCCCTCCCTAGTATTTTCTTCAGCAGTGCCAAGAGCCTTGTTGAATCCCAGACCACAAGACTCTACACCCATTTCTGGCTGTCACAGGGCATCCTGCCCAGCCTGATGGGTCTAGGAAGGAGCTAGACCCCAGGTCCTAGCTGCTGCCCTGGGAAGCTTCTTTCTGAAGCCTGAAGACTAAATGCCCTGAGAGCAAAAAATCCCAAAAGACCCCCCCCACCCCCGCAAAAGGAGGCAGAAGAGATTGAAAAACTGAGAAAAAGACTGGCAGCCAGGAAGTACTACTGAGACTTTTGTGTGAAACCTATCGTTTCCATGAGTAAAATAGCCAATTGACCTCTCTCCCAGAAGGGGATGGGGAGAAGAGACTGGCAGAGTAAAGTGAGTCTACAACAGCTGAGGCTGAAAAGTTCTGCCGCTGTAGCTGGCAGGTGGCTTCTTGCACCAGCCCCTGATGTGGTTTCATAACCAGCTTCAAACAAGAGCCTGCAGCAACTCAGTTCTGTTAATCACTTTCTTGCTGGTAGCTCTTTCCCACTCCTCCCCCTCCCCGCACCCCACCTCCCCACCTCACACACGAATATCCTGGCTCTGCCAGCCGGTCAAGACACCCAAGCCAGGGCTAGAGTGTGCCCCAGGGCAGCCACCAGGTAAGACTTTCCCATACCCTCTTCCAGGTAAGGGCAGACCTTTAAACCGCAAATCTTTTGCCTTCTGGGTAAGGGGCACAGAACAGTCAAGCCTGCACCCTGGACCCCAAATGGGGAGTCCCTGGAAGCACCCCACAATGCCATTTACATTCTGCCCACCCCCTAACCCGCAGCGTCACAGCTGCTCACCTCTCAGCTCTGGTCGAGTCTGAGTCTCGGGACACAGGAGTGCGGTGGGAATGAAAAGACAGAGAGCACCGAGGCAATCCCCCACTAGCCAGGAGACAGGGAGGAGCGAGGAGGCGGAGTCCTCACTATTGTTGGGGCTTTCAGAGTGGGATCTCCGGTCGGCAGGGGAGCCTCCCGCTCCGCTTCCCAGACTGGGGCCTCGCACTCAGAGGTTGACGCGTTCTGGGGCCCCACCCCCATCTCCACGGGTTCACCTAGCCCTGGAGACAGCCAAACCTTTACCCACCGAAGCCGAGCCTCTCCCCGTCCCCCACCCTCAGCCGGGGCTCCCCTCCTCAACGTCCCAACTCCGTCCTCCCGCCCCACTTCCCGCTTTGGGCATCCCCTCGGCGGATGCACCCCCTCATCCCTGTCCGAGTCCCCTCAAACCGGGGTTCCTTTACCAGCAGCCCCCACCCCTCTCCCGCCTCGCCTCTAGTCCAGGGGGCCTCCCAGCTCACCCACTCCGGAAGCTTCTATTCGGACTCACCCAGTGGGGCCGGAGGTCGAGGGCCCAAGAGAAGCGCCCAGGGGCGGGGGCGGGGGCCGCTGCTTGCAGCTGTAACAACCCGCGGCAGCAGCCACCCCGCTGGCAGCTCCGGCCGAATCAGCGCCCCGCGCCGGCTCCTGTGACGTCACCGCTTCGCGCCGAGCCGCACGACGCCTCCTGGGAGTTGTAGTTTCCTCCACGGATCTCTCCCGGCGTGGCTGATGCTGTTCTGCAGGACGTCTCAGCCGGACCCAATGCTAAGATTAGGTGGTATTACTTTCTCGCGTAACAGTTCCTGCTTCTGCATCCACTCCCTTCAAGTGCTGCTTACAATCGCCCCCGTTTTGCAGATGAGGAAACTCGGAGTTTTAAGTAACTTGCCCTAGGTCCCTACAGGGTCTCAGCCTGGACTGGAACCCAGAGATCTGACTCCAAGAGCAGGGTTTTTCCAATACACGTCGCCGCCTCCGCCCTGCTCCCAGGTTGGCTTCTCCAGAAAGCCGACTAGCCCCGCCCTTTGCCCAGTGGGGCCTTCCTGGGAACGGGTCTTTCGCAACTTTGGCTGGGGTAAGGGTCTGGAAGGGCGGAGAGCGCAGCCTGTGGGCAGCATTTGTCCAGGGCGTTTTGGCTAGCTCCTTCTCAGTTACACTTGGCCTAGGCCATATCCTCGGACTCCTCCCATCAGACCTCAGAAGAGGCCACGTGTCATGGAAGGATTCCTTGATGGAGAGTTAGGAGCCTGAGTTCCAGTCCCAAATCAGCCTGTGTGGTTTTATGTGGGAGACTCCACCTCTCTGAGCTGCATTTTTCGCAATCTACAAGCTCTAAAGGTGAGGGCAGATCTTACAGCCAGGCGGTCATAGTGTAGGCACTCTTTTACCAGCTGTGTGACCCTGGGCAAGTTCCTTAATTTGTCTTAATCTCCAGTTCCACACCTGTGAAATCCTACCTCAGAGTTTGTTGTGAAAATTCAAAAGAATATAGGTAAAGCACCTGTTGCATTGTAATAAACTGTTTCTGTAGGAAATTAAACTAAATGGCTTCTGAAGTCTCCTGGCTCACTCCCAGTCTGTATATCACCAAAGGGTCTTGTTTGGGTAGTTTCTGCTCGTCCACCCAGCTTCTCTATGTTTGTCTGGGCTGGAATAGTGAGATTAATGACATCATGACATAATAAACCTGACAGGCTGCAAAAAAAATTTTTTGTTGTTGCCATGGAGTCTATTCTGACTTATGGTGACCCCATGTGTTACAGAGTCGAACTGCTCCATAAGCAGTTCTTGGCAGTAATCTGTACAGAAGTAGATATCCAGACCTTTGTTCGTCAGTACTGCCGGATGGGTTCAAACCACCAACCTTTAAACTTTAGGTTAGTACAGACTGCTTGCACCTCCCAGGGCCCCAATAACTGACTGCAAACTCACCTCGAAAGGAGTTTAAGGGCACAGGAAAGACAGTGCTGGCTTAGGGCTGGGGGAGCACTTCTCTCAAACCTCACCCAGCCCCCCCAGGGGGCTGCCAGGAAACAGTTATGGGATCCCTGCAGGCACCTAGTGGGCATCATGCAAGTGAGTATCTGAACCACCCAGAGCAGAATAGGCAGTTCCTCGAGTCTTCCCAGGACCAATTGCCCAAGACCACCCATTCCAAGATCTAGATAATCTCCCCAGAGTCTGAAAAAATTCTGCCTTATGTCCGACAGAAGTTTCTCCTGCTTTGTGGAGGCCCATTTCCTTATACTCAGCCCTCTGCAGACATAAGGAAACAACTGTGTTGTCCTTTTCACAGAAACCTCCCCAGCACTGAGACAGAAAGGGACGTCTATCTCCCAAGTGAGCCCACTTGACTCACTTGACCTTTCTCTGGGATTCTTCCATCCTCCATCAAGTCTATTGAGCTCTCTGGATCCTTGCCAGTTTCTTCACATCTCTGTGAAGTTTCATAACTCAGACTGGGTCCACGTCTCAAGGTGCTGACTAATGCAGAGTCTAACAGAAAGATTATCGGCCATGTCATGTCCTATTAATAACTCCTGTTATCACATTTTTTCCACAAAGGGAATTGTTATGGATTAAATTGTGTCCCCCCAAAATGTGTCGTAAATCCTAACCTCTATGCCTGTAGTTATAATCCCATCTGAGAATGAGTTGTTTTTGTTATATTAATGAGACAGGATTAGTGTAGGGTATGTCCTGAGTCAATCTCTTACAAGATAGAAAAAGTGCAGATTAGACAAGCAGAGATGGAGAAGGGAGATTCCAAACCACATGAAGATCGCCCAGGAGCAGAAGCTCAGAAGAGACAAGGACCTTCCTCCAAAGCCAACAGAGAGAAAAAGCCTTCCCCTAGAGCTGACACCCTGAATTCAGACTTTTAGCCTCCTAAACTGTGAGAGAATGCATTTCTCTTTGTTAAAGCCACCCACTTGTGGTATTTCTGTTATAGCAGCACTAGATAACTAAGACAGGAATGAACAGAGCTCTGACTCACTCTGAGTTTGTGGTAAACTGTGGATCGCTTTCAGCTTTATTTAGCTTGAGTCCCTGTTATCATCTTTCTCCTTCTCCAGATCTCTGCCCTCATAATTACCACGTCTTCACCAAACATCTTTCAGCCAGAGTGGGCCTGGGCATTGTTCAGAATGAGTGACAGCACTCTTATGCATCACTAGGGCATGTGCAACCCCTTGGACAACAATTGGCAGTACGTGCCAAGAGGCTGAAAAAGCTTTCATGCCTTGGAGCCACAATTACACTTCTGGTAGCCCATTCTAAAGAAATCATCCCGTGTGCAGGAAAAGCTGCAGGGTGTGAGAATGTTCATTCCTGCATTATTTATAGTAGTGGAAACCCAAAAGCAACCTAAATGCCCAAGAAAAAAATCACGGTATAGCCATTGGATGGAATAGTAGTATCTTAGTAAATAGTTGTGAAAACTATGTAGCAGTACGAGAAAATGTTTGCTCGGTTACATGAAAAGATCAGGATACGAAAAGCATGAACGTGCCCCGGGGTTGCAGTCAGCAAAATCCAGAATGAGGGAAACTAGAACAGCCAATTCCCTTCAAAAATACACTGGAAGAAAAAAAGGAGGGAAGAAATTTATGGATTAAAAGAAATTAAGTACCAAATGCTGCCTTATTTGGATCCTGATTCAAGCAAACCAACTTCAAAAAAAGATTTTATTAAATTATTGGGGCAACTTGAATACTGACTAGATATTTGATAATATTAAGGAATTATTAGAAATGTTAAGGCATGATATGGTATTATGGTAATGGTTTTTATTTTTATATTTCATTGTTTTTAGTGAAAGTTTACATAGGAAATTAGGTTCTCATTTAACAATTTCTATATATATTGTTCAGTGGCGTTGGTTACATTCTTTACAATATATTGACATCCTTGTTATTTCCATTTTAGTTGTTTTGCTTCCGTTAATCTAGCCTCCCTGTCCCCCTCTAGCTTTCTCATCTTTGGTCTAGGGTAAATGTTAAGCATTTGGTTTCATCTAGATGATTACTTTGAGGAGCACAGTACTCAAGGGGGGGTATTATTTATTTTATGGGCCTATCTGTCATTTGGCTGAAAAGTGACCTCTGGGAATGGTTTGAGTTCCAACTTTATAGAGTGTCTCAAAATGATAGTCTTGGGGTTCATCTACTCTCTACAGGTCTAGTAAGTCTGGCATTTTTTTTTTTTTTT